GCACAGGGTAGCAGGAAGCTCTCCGCACACTCACCGGACCTTGGCTAGGACTGGGTCTGGGGGCTCCCGGAACTCGGCAGAAAATCCTATTCGGCGGGCGGGGTGGGAGAGGCACTGCGGAGTGGTGGGGGGTGGCCCAAGGGGCTGGGAGAGGGTCTGGCCCACGCTGCGCCTGGGCTGGGACTTCCCACATCTGTTCTTGAAGCAAGGAAAAGAAAGAACCCAATCTGAGTCCTCTGATGAATTCCAGAAATTCAAAATTACTTTCTCTCCTCTTCTTTTACAGGGCAACAGCCTTCGGCATCCTCAATGGGTTATGCAAATTTGGTGCCATCCTGGGAAACACTATCTTTGCTTCTTTTGTTGGGATAACTAAAGTGGTCCCCATCCTTCTGGCTGCTGCTTCCCTGGTTGGGGGTGGCCTGATTGCCCTTCGACTGCCAGAGACTCGAGAACAGGTCTTGATGTGAACAGCCTGTGGGGAGAAAAGAGACTGAAAGGATCTGGGTGAGAACACCTACATGCAGCCACACTTCCTGCCTCTCCCTGTCCGCAGGCGACAAGGAGAGCACAGCAGGAGTTGATTTTGTGATCCGTTAGTTTAGAACCCACTTCAGCTGTCAATATGTATGTTTCTCAGGTGACTGATTTGGGGGTGCCTTGAGTCAGCCTTAGAATCCCAGAACTGTGTGCTTGGCTTTGGGTCTCCCCAGTTCAAGGTAGTAGGAGGGCTTTTCAGTTGGTGCACACACTAAGCAAGGAGTATGCATTTCCCTAGGTGAGGTGCAAGGACTCTTATGCTTTCCGAAATTAATTTTAGGGTGGAGAGATGGTCAAGCTTCTCCACAAAGCTCCCAGGAGTCCAGTGACCTAACACATTGACTTGGCTGGAGGTTGGAGTCATTACATGAATATTGGTCTTGAAGAAGAGGATGCATATATTTTTGCATTTGAAAATATCACTATCATATTTTCCACTTGAAAATTGGCACAACAGCATCGAAGATACTCTGATATGATGTAGAAAACCAAATATTTGAACACTGTCTCTAGAGGTGGACCTTTGGCTCTAGTGTCTTCAGTTATCCCTAATGACTGGGGACACATCTGAGAATATTTTTTCCTGTGTTGCTCTGTTCAAAGAAATGTAATGGGCTAGGTATTTTGCAAATTAAGTTTGTGTGTCATTGTCATTGGGTTTTACTTTCACAAATGGCAGCTGCAAATATTGTCAGCATTTTAACTACATTTTCGAGAACTTGAAGGTTTAAGTCCCCAAAATTGGGTCTAATCAATGCAAGTAGTTTCTTATAGTCATTTAAAAGCTCATAGAAGGAGGCACTTAGCAAAATAAGTAGAGTTTCATTTAGGCCAGGGATCTTTTTTTGGGTAGGCAATGTAGTTACTTTCCCTCCTACACCGATCAGTCCAGAGATCAAGCTCACAGTCCTAGGTACTGGTATCAAATTTGCTGTTCATCCAGATATAGTAGAAGGAGCCTTCCATGACCTTTGACACCATTTGCAGGTGAGCGTGAAATGACACGGGGCATGGGAAGAATGGGGAAGCTTCCTGGTTCTTCAGGGTGCAAACTGAGCAGTAAAGCACATTGGCTGTGATGGTCAGTTCCCATGAGACACCAATGCTATGTCTTCCTGTTCAGGGCTTTAAAAACTCAGGGCATTGGCGTGGACATGAAAGAATATAGTTGATGTCAGATATAGTTTTCTTCAGGCCTCTAAAAGATGAGCTGCAGTTTGGAAGATCAAAGGGTGATGGGTGGGGCCAGAGCCCAAGACAAACTGCTCTGCTAAGGGTCAGCAATAGACTGAAATCTCCACTCCATGGAAAAGAGACTTTTTAGTCACTCAGTCTTTCTAGCAATGATCAGAACAGGTAGCCAGAGCTCCTATCCCTGAAGGTGTACGTGCCCGGCTGGGTGAGCACCAGTCTACAGGAACTACTTTGCTGAGTTGTTTTGCAGCATCCTCAGTAGCTGTGCAGTACTACACTGTCCCTTTCAGAAGCCTCCAGACGTTGAAAGCAGAAGAAGGGTGGCTTCATTGAGTGTTTTCTCAGTCTTGAAGAAATGCTCCAGTCAAGCGATCTTCCTGTCACTCCCTTGATCAATGGGTGAATGGGGAAAAGAGAAAATTGTTTGACCCCTTCTCACCCTTAATTTGAAATCAGTTTTAATGATTAAAATATTTACTCTGCCACTCTTGTCTCTCCCTGTTTATTCATCCCACTTTTCTTCTGTATGGGGAAGGAAGACACAACCACTATGATTTGATTCCCTGATTCCTCCTAATGTATATGTTTATGTATGTATATATATATATATATATAAATCTACCATTATGTATTTATGTTTATCTCAATGTTTTATAGGTGTTAATTAACATAATGCTATGCCAATAATGAGAGACTCTGTAATATTCTTGTAATATACTTTCCTTATTTATGTGATGTGAAACTTAATGGCCAGGTGGATACAAAAGAAGTGCGTAGATCTGGGATGACCACATCCCTGCTAACATTATTCTTCAATGGGATAATACAATTAATTGAGCAGCTACCACTTAAGAAATTTCTGAGGCAGCCAGAGCCTGCATTTCTAGTTAAGATGAATCTTATATATTTGAAGTCTGGTGAATTTTGAGGCAGGCATGGCTGGAGCGACATTGGGGTTACCTCTCTTTGATTTCTGAGTTCTAGCTACATTGTTATCTTGATGTCTCCCTCAGCCATCTACCTGACCAACCACGGGCAATTCCCGCCTCATCCATCATGGGGACCCAGGTGAAGGGTGCAGTGGGGCTCTGCCGCCTTCCCTCTGAAGGATTGTCTGGCACTGGCACCTGCCGCTTCTTCAGGGCTGTCACTCCTGCTGAGATGAAAGTGTCTTTAAAAATGGTCTCTGTGGCAGGTTACTGGGGATAATGTACAGCTCTCCTGGCCATCCATTCTTTTTCATTTCGTGTTCTCCCTCCAGGAACTCCCAATGGCATCCGTGGAGGGCTGGAGGCATGAGGCGCTCTTTCGTTGAGCAAATCTGTTCACACAAGGGGTTCATGATGTATCTCATGATGCCCGATTTTGGAGTAGTTTGTGACTTTTATTAGTCTCAACTGTATTGCGTCATCACTGGATGCTGATTTTTGACCTTTTGTTTTATTAAAGATAATTAGTGAAAGAGATATGCTGGTTTGTGAAGTTTGTAGCACATTAGCCTGAGGTGATGTAATAAATAATTCTATTCCTAAGGTTCTCTGGTATCTTATGGTAGTCCGTTAAAAAAAAAGAATAAAAAATAATGTAAGCAAATCTCTACACACTTGGGTGAAAGGTTTTCAGGTAGTGAGATCTCTTCTGTGTTCCTGATTGACCGAAATGGCTTGGGGAGGAACACAAGAACCCAGTTTGTTCATCCAGGACCTCAGAGGCTACGGATGTGAGCAGCACAGTATGGGAACAAGGAATGGTGCTCTCTGCTTTTCTCAGACTCACCCTACAGTCATCGATGCCTCTGCAAAACCCACCACTAGACCTGGGGAAGTGAGACAAGGTGACCAGCACTCACCCTCAGTTCTCCGGGACCAGTGCTTGCATATTCACTTGGTTGTTTTACTGAGAACAAGCTGAAGGATTGCATAAACATGAACAGACGGACATTCATTTGTCTGTTTATCCCCTCCTTTTCTCCCTCCTTCCAACCATCACTTTTTTTACTCTTTCTTTCCCTCCACAAATCCTGAGTGAGCCCCTACCTGAAGTGGTCTCTGTGGTAAGCCCGGGGGTACAGTGGTGAGAGAGCTGGTTACAGTTCCTGCCTCTTCCACTTATGGCCAATGGGCAAGATGGATATTGACTATCATATCACCAAGGGCAGTAGCCTCACGATGGGTAGAGCGCAGCTCCTGTTTGGATGGGCTTCCTACTACCTTCCCTGTCTTGCTGGACTTCAGAGAGGGGCATTGCTCCTCCAGTTTCTCTTGTTTGTTAAGCTGTCAGGCTCTTTATAAACCCAGTAAAGGACAAGATGTACTTCCTCATTTTCTCCACATGCCACCAGCCCTGCACTAGGGTTGTAGGAAGAAAGCAGAGCACCTAGGCATGCGAGTTGCACCTGCCCTGGGCAGTGAGGCTCCCCTGGCCCTTGAACCCAGTGGCTGTGCTGACTGACAATGCAATGATCGGGATTTCATAGGATCAGGTGGGAGCGCATGTAACTGAAAACCCAAATGAGCCCATTCTACTAAGTTTATAGCAAGTTAAAGGGTTAGTTCTCTTTTATATTAAGGAAACTTAAAGGAAAGGCAGCCATAGCAGCTCTGGCTGCACTAATTTGTATCACGGGGATGTGCTCCTACCTGCAGACTCTGTTTCTTAATGTACATTTTCCACCTCACAGACTGGGATGGCTGTGGGCACACTGGTCCTCATTCCCACATTCAGGTAAGATACAGAAAGGACAAGGAACAAAGGATTTGACCTCTGGTCTGAGCCACTCCCCCCCACCCCAGTAGGTCTCCTGGAAGCCTCTTGAAGATGCTTCCAGTGTTATGATTGACCTTTGTTGCAGGGACAAATGTGGCATTTACTAGGAACTTGGACATCTCTTCTCCAAGTTGAGGATCTTGGCACTAAGGGAGGAGGGGTGGATGAATTAATGCTTACATTTTTTTTCTGCACCAGAAGCACCTGGCTGGGTATAAGCATTCACTCCACTGGGTCTCATCTTGAGATTTTACCTCAGTCAATCTGGGGTGAGGTCAAGTAATTAGAATTTTTTTAACAAATATATTTGATATAGGGTTTCACGGTACAGCTCAGACTTGGAGTGATCCTCCTGTTTTCAGCCTCCCTAGTACTGGGATTATAGGCGTGTGCTACCATGCAGGTCTTGGTGGCTGGCTCAGCCCCTCCCTGGAGGCAGTGCTGGCATGGCATGTGGTGCTGGGGATCGAACCCTGGTCCCTGCACTTGCCTAAGCAGGCACTTAGTCCACTTATCTACCTCACCAGCCCTATGGTATACTGATTCTAGGAGCTTTTCCCCTCCTCGGACTGTCCAGGGGGGCTAAGACAGGGTCAGAGTGAACTTAGCCCACTGATGGTCAACCTGAACTTGCTTGGAAGCATCTCTGAGAGATCATAAGCTTTATGTTTTGGGGAGGAGGAAGCCAGAATTGGGTAAATTCCTCCACATCAACCTCCTCATTTGATGCAGATTTCAAAATGGTTATCTTGTCTCCTGCACTGTGCCAGGGCTCTAGCATGATGTGGCACTTCTGTGCTTAAAGTATTGTGCATTGTACTGTGGGGAGCTCTGTCACATGGAGACAGAGTCATTTGGAGTTCACTGCATAGAGCCTTCAGGGTTGAGGCATGCTGAAGCACATCTTGTTTAATTTGCAGAGGCCTGGTGGGGCGTTCATATACATGGCTTTTATGTTGGCGGAGAGATTTCTCAAAAGATTAACAATGAAATGTAACAGAGACTGGAGCTATCCACAGATGTTAGATGAAAACACAAAAGTTGTTAGAGTCATTGCTAATTACATATCAGACAGGGGGTCTGCTCAGCAGAATCTGGATGATTCAGTTCATAAGCAGAGAATCAGGGTCACCATTGTTTCCCCTCAAAACACATGTTTAGTTGTCCACTTAGCTTTGGTCCCACTGGCTTAAAGTACCTAACCACTTCACAGTCCAAGTAGCTTAAAGTACCTTACCACTTCACAGTCCAAGAGAATGTACACCTTTCATAAGCAAAGGTCACTCAGGAGCGGTTCTTCTCTGAAGTTCCCATCTCACCACATTTGGTAACCTTGCTGGGAAAGGGAGGGTCATTGAATCACAGGTGCTGTCACTCAGGAGAGGGATCCATTCAAAAATGACCACCCTGACCTTCGCTTTTTTTTTTCCTTTTTGTCTTTTTGAGACAAGGCTTCAGTAGGGAGTTCAGGCTGGCCAGGAATTAACTTTGTAGCCCAGGCTGGCCTTGAACTCACAGGGATCCTCCCGCCTTTGCCTTCCAAGTACTGTGATTACTGGTGTGCACCACTATGCCCAGCCTAACCTTCACACCTTGCATATGGCATTCAACCTGAGCAGTTCATATTTTTC